ATTGTGGCGGACGGGGTTTGGATTCCCGGTGCTCCACCTATTTGGTCTGTTCGATGGGCGTCTTGCCCTTGACCTTAGTGGCAGGGGGGCTGGAGCCCTTCCCTTGCCGTTTTGACTTGAAGGCTTGTGGGCCTGAGGTCTCCATCAAGCGGTGTGGGGCAGAGCTCATAACAGAACCTTCTCCACTGAGGCCGCTACTGCAGCGTTTATCATTTCCTAGAAATCTTGGGAAGGTTGAGAGTGTCCATCATGACTCGTTCCTGTCCTGATGGGAGACAGTGGGAGTAGTGTGTGAGGGTCAGCACGTAGGGGTGCAAGACTCCTGGTAGAACTGGGGATCACTCAGGTAAAACGGTTTGAATTGCCTGCTTTAGTTTGTCTGAGAGTATGAATACTCGTGCCAAGTGTAGAGGGGTCACCTCTATTAGTTTAATCTGGCTACTGAGAGCCGCGGTGCAGGCGCGATTGACTGGTAGTGGTGTTGGTCTGGCTAGCCGGGTTCACCACAAATGTACGCCAGAGCTGTATGCACGATTTTTAACTATACAGGCTTATTATATAGGCGCGTGGGGCCTGTCTCCATAAGGTCTGCAGCCGCAGGACCCATGTCTATTCGGCTGGGTTCATCCCAGGTGGTGTGCCATGGTAACCCAGAGGACACCCATATTATAATTATTAGCACCTTACAAGCATTGCATGCATATCTGGGGGTCACCCCCGGTGGTGTGCCATGAAAAATTACCCAGAGGACACCCACGTTCAATATGTCCACTAGGCGCAGTAAATATACATATATGTATCCCTGTGAAGGGTACACCGTAATACCCTCAGTTTCCTTAGTGATCCTGCCGTCAAATCGTATCCGGCATGGTACTGTTGCTTTAATGTAAAACTGACAGGCAGTGTTTAAACATCCATATATGTCTGTAGTAATCAGTGGTAAAGTTGAGGCGTAGGCCTCCGTGCATATGATCGGGGTTCACCCCGGGTGGTGTGCCATGGTAACCCAGAGGACACCCACATCAAAGGTAATGGTCTGTCAGTGACCTTGCATGCATATCTGGGGGGTCACCCCAGGTGGTGTGCCATGAAAAAATACCCAGAGGACACCCACATAAATTTGCACCGTCGGGTACAGTAATATAATATGACCCTCTGTAGGGTACAATAATGTAATATAATATGCCCTGTGTAGGGTACAGTAACGCAATATGCCCTTGGAAGGGTACAGTGAGATAGTTGATTCTGTATATGTCACAGTAATTGTTTGTATAGTAATAGTGGTATTGTATGGACTGAACCATAATACATTTAAATTGTTTGCATGCTCAACATAATCATCCAGTGTAAGGCACCAAGGGAGAGTTAAATCCATGTGGCATTCACAGCAGAGAAGAAAATGTTTTATTTCAACCAAGAACGAAAGTGCCTAGAGAGGGGGACCCCTGAAGGGGTTAATGTAGCTGCAGGGAGCAGTGATCGGGTGATTCCCGAACCGCCACGTGAGCAGGGAAGGCGGCCGTCGTGGGTCTCGCGAGCCGCAAGATCCAAGATGGCCGCCAGCCGCGTGTAGCAGGCTTACTCGCTCGCTGCCGCGAGTAAGCAGAAAAACACGGCGGAAGAATGCAAAACCGCCCCGGTCACCTTCCACCCGTCCCCACACAGTCCCCTGAGTGTCAGCAGGGCAGGTCCACGCAGCGAGCGCGTCACGGACAGCCGTGACGCCCGCGGGCCGCCCGACCAAAATTAGATAAAGTGGTAGTAACACACTGAATATGGGGAGACAGGGAAGGGAGCAAGGAGCAGTAGATGGATAGATATTTAGTTACAAAGTGAAGGTAGAGTAAAAATATATAAATACATCAGAGAGGTAATAATACTCTGACCTGTTGTAGGCTGGAGCAGCAAAGAAAGAGGAAGTGATGTCATAGACAGGGCCTCTTATGGGCACCATATCTTTTCTCTGATTAGTTGTTACTGTTTCTATGCTGCTGGAGTTTTCAGTAAAGAAAGATATGCAAATATGAAGCCTCCTGTCATGTGGTAAAATTCCACACACCCTGTTACATATTGATATACAATATATTTAGACATACAATTGGTTATATTACTCTCTGTATTATATTTTGGCTGGGGAAAATAAATCCACTATTGTATTATTATACTTTTTTTTTTTTTATCATAATTTTTTTCCCTTTTCCCTTCTTATTTCTACTCATTTCTATTGTTTAATGTTGATTTCTTTATATACCAAATAATGTGAAATATGCTTTTTTTTTTGTTTTGTAAATACTGTTCAATAAAAATAGTTTGAAAAGAAATCTTGACCAAACCACAATACTGCACTTTCACCAATGATATCATCATCATCATTATATGGTCAACAGTTTTAAAACACTCATATTTGTGTTTAGTAATTTCTCACTAGTGCCCCTTCTTCCCTCCCCCTCCAATGTACAGGTTTTATGGTGTGTTTTGCAAAGCTAACTTTATTTCCAGGTTAAGGATCTGCCTGACAACCCAGGCAGTCCCTTTGATGGAATCAATGGGAATCTGTCATGGCAAGTTCACTTAAACTTATGGGAATATGTTAATAAACCATGAAATAATGGTGAATAGACAAGAGAGAGGTCTAACGAGCCAAACGTTAAAAATATTCTCCAGCCATATTTCCAGCTTGGCCATTGTGGCATCAAAGGCAATATTTTAGTCATTACAATTACAAGAATTGATAAAAATGTTTATCACGCTGAGCCACAAATAAAGTACAGAACTTTCTATAATTATCTATATATCTGTCTATTTGCTTATCTTCATACTCAGTGGGTATTTTTATGGTCGCAGACAAAATCTTCTATCGGCCATCTTAATTGTATCCATGAGCGTTTTGAGATTGGGTAATATTTTTTAAATTCTGTTATTTGTGTCAAGTTGAAAAAAAAAGCCTCACTAGCAAAACAAATGATTTGAATACATTAGTGTTTGTTTAGTGGAGTGGTTTCCATAATAATGGTGGCCTTCTGGCTAGATTTTAAGAAAACCAAAAAAGTTACCTGCGCAGTATCCCAAATCCCTATGCACATTTATATAACTGGAGGTTTTTAGTATTATTCTAATGGCCATTAAAGTGTAAGCTCACCTGCTACATCAAAGCAAAACGTTGTGAGTCGTACACCAACAATTCACCTTGCTGCTTTTAGCTAAAAGGAAAAAACTTTCTAACAAGACAGAGAGGGGTGTTTTTTTAAACCCCTACATACGAAATAACCCTTAATAGGGAACAAATGGGCTGGGCAGCAGCACTGTAACATAGCTGTGTAATACAAAATCAAGCAGAAACATACATAATTAAGCCCTGTACTCAAACTCACACTACTCCTGGGCAGCAGCAATGACTATAGTACACATCAGCACAAATATATACAATAAAAACCAAAGAAAAGACTTACATGCGCATTATCCCAAATCCCTATGCACATTTACATAACTGGAGGCTGTTTAGTATCTCTCCAATGGCCATTTAAGCGATCACTCATCTGCCAAAACCTCTTAGGTGAGCCTGGTTCTTTTAACCCCTTCCCGACCTTGGACGTACCAGGTACGGTCGCAGTAAATTGGCCCAGTTTACTTACATTGACCGGCAATCCGTGTCGATCCCGGTAAGGGGAGAGCCCAGCAGTCCTCCTGCAGCAGCTCGGCCCTCCAGGGCCATGTGATCACCATGATCACACGGCTGCAATAGGAGTCTATGGAGCTGCCAGCAGGGGGACTGCCTGAGCGGTCAGGCAGTCCTCCAGACTCCAAAAATGTTGTAAAAAATTAATAATAAATTAAATATATTACACATATTATATATGTATAGTATATTATAAAATAGTTAAAGCATTATGATTGCATTATAAGTGTACTTTAAAATATATACACATATATCTCAAAATACACTTATAATAAAGTCATATATATTCATTTTATATGTATAATATTATTATAAAATGCCTTAATTATTTTATAATATATTATACATATAAAGTAAATAAAAGCGTGGTGAGATGTTTTTCTGACCCTATGTTGTCCGAAAAACATCTCACCGCCTGACCTGACAATGCTGCTCCTCACGCTACTGCAGCAGCTACAATAGGATAGAGTTCGAACAGGGCAGAAGTGGTAGAAAAACCTGGTACATTGTACACTTCAATAGGCCAGACCTCCCATAGCCAATTATCACCAAAAATAGCTGCAATGCCTGAGGTGGCAGCTGCGTCTATAAAAATTGTAAGGGAGTCAGAGGCAAGTAAAGGGATAAACATGCTTTTCCCATTGCATCTCATGAGAAATTCCTGCCACATGCGTAAATCAAAAGGTAGCCGTAATGTCCAGTGAAATGCGGGAAATAGACTGAAAGCGAGGAAACAGATTGAGCAGTCTAGATATAAAAGCCCTGCGGGATAATTTTCATTGCAAAGTTGAGGGAGCCTACTAGAGACTGTAATTCTGTACGATTACAAGATCCCGCAGAGAGATATAGATCGATGCTGGATAGGATACGCTTAATCTTATCTCTAGGCAAACTGGCTTGCATATTAACCGGATCTAGCGTGATACCCAGGAAATTAATCAACGTGTCGGGTTCTTCTGTCTTTTTAGGAGAGACGGGGACAGTGGTGTATCCTGGTTTTGTGCTGCCCTAGGCAGGACAAAACGCAGGCGCCCCCCCCGCGCCAACCCCCCCCCCGCCTTCTAAATACACACACACACATTCACTGACAGATACGCATACACTCGCTAACAGAAACACACACACACACTAACAGACACACTCACACTCACTAACAGACACACACTCACTAACACACACACTCACAGGCAAACACACACTCACTGACACACTAACAGACAAACATAGTCAGACACACACACTAACAGACACACACTCACTAACACACACTCACAGGCAAACACACACTCACTGACACACTAACAGACAAACATAGTCAGACACACACACTAACAGACACACTCACACTCACTAACAGACACACACTCACTAACACACACACTCACAGGCAAACACACACTCACTGACACACTAACAGACAAACATAGTCGGACACACACACTAACAGACACACTCACTAGCAGACACACACACACACACTAACAAACACACACATTAACAGACACACTCACTGACACACACACTCACAGGCAAACACACACTCACTGACACACACACACACACAGGCAAACACACACTCACTGACACACAGTCAGACACACACACATACACACTAACAGACACAGTCAGACACACACTAACAAAACACACACACATTAACAGACACTCACTCACATTAACACATTTTTTTATTTATTTTTATTTAGCCCCCCCCCCACCCCCTTACCTTTGGGAGTGCTGGGGGGGGAGGGGTTCATTACCTCCCTGGTGGTCCAGTGGATGCCGGCTGGGCTAGGCAGGCGGCTGGCGAGGGAGCTCTTCCCCTGAGCGGTCTGCTCAGCTCCCTCGCGCGCCGCAAAGTGAGGCTGGGAGCCGGAAGATGACGTCATCTTCCGGTTCCCAGCCTCACTCTGCGGCGCGCGAGGGAGCTGAGCGGACCGCTCATGGGGAAGAGCTCCCTCGCCAGCCGCCTGCCCAGCGCCGCCCGCCAGCCCAGCCGGTCAGTTAGCCTCGAGGCTAACAAAGCATTTGCCTGGGCATTTGGGGGGCGGTGTTTTTTGCCGCCCCCTGAAAAATGCCGCCCAAGGCAAATGCCTTGTTTGCCTCGCGGCTAAAACGCCCCTGGACGGGGACCCCAAGGTATTGGAAAAGCTGGATTATGATCATGACTCTCAGGCTACTGGGTGGAAATAAGTTACTCTCAACAGTCAAGAAGTCATCTAAATAGTAAATAACTGTTGGGTATCTACAGACATTGAGCAGTAGCCAGCATAAAGTCTCAGCGAAGGTATCGAAAATCCTGGGGCTAGTTTTTGCACCAAAAGTGAGGCGAGTGGAAAAAAAGGAAGAACCCTGCCACTTAAAGGACCACTATAGTGCCAGGAAAACATACTCGTTTTCCTGGCACTATAGTGCCCTGAGGGTGCCCCCACCCTCAGGGACCCCCTCCCGCCCGGCTCTGGAAGGAGGAAAGGGTTAAAAACTTACCTTTTTCCAGCGCTGGGCGGGGAGCTCTCTGCTTCCTCTCCTCCTCCGTTCCTCCTCCTGGGCTGAATGCGCACGCTCGGCAAGCGCTGCGCGCGCATTCAGCCCGTCGCATAGGAAAGCATTTACAATGCTTTCCTATGGACGCTTGCGTGCTCTCACTGTGAAAATCACAGTGAGAAGCACGCAAGCGCCTCTAGTGGCTGTCAATGAGACAGCCACTAGAGGATTAGGGGAAGGCTTAACCCATTCATAAACATAGCAGTTTCTCTGAAACTGCTATGTTTATAAAAAAATGGGTTAACCCTAGAAGGACCTGGCATCCAGACCACTTCATTAAGCTGAAGTGGTCTGGGTGCCTAGAGTGGTCCTTTAACACCGTGTAGATGCCACAAAGAAGGATAGATTGGGAAGAGCTTGAAGGTATTAATGATGTCAGTCTTCCCAGCAGTCAGAATTGCGTCAATGGCATTATCAATGGTGGAAAACTGAAGGGAGAATTCCTCTGAAGGAATGAGAGAGTTCAGACTGGGGGTTGTGGAAGAGTGGAGAGCAGAGAGGTCGACAATCAACCTTTGCTTGGCTGAACTTTACCAGAGACCACCCCAATAGGGTTAGTTCTCCATACTGAGAAAACCTTGATCTAATTAAATCTGTAACAGAGTGTTAACCACTATTGGATTCTCAAGGACGGACAGCAGGTTCTTACATTCTACAATGCCGAATGGCATGTAAATGATTCCCGTATGGAACCCTTCCGTGAATCCAGTCACCAAAAACTTCACCAAGTTGGCTGAGGGATGGTTAAGTAATAAGTTGTCGAAACAAGTCACATTGGTTGAGGCAATGTAGGGTTTGGGAAACAATTTATTTTTGACACATTGTCTTGGCATGTGCCCTAAAACAAAGAGAACACACATGCAATAACTGGAAAGCACTAAATCCACAGGAACCTTCATTAAAGCTATTGCAAATCTGGGATTTACCAAGAAAAACAATATTACGACCAAGCTTGTCCTTAATCACCTTCTCAGGTTTAGCTAAGGAGGTTGGGAAAGGAAAGGTAGTACCCAGCTATGGGGTATTAGGACATAGGTTCATGGTATGTGAGGATGAAGAGCAAATACCACAAGCTGGGGACCTGAGGCCCGCGAAGTGCCTGCAAAACAGATCCATGCCCAACTGGCTCCAGTCCGTCTGAAAATTGAACTGAGCCAGAGCTGCAGACGCCTTCGTGGAGAATGATCTGTGGTAATCATAAAATGATGTACCTCTGTGTAAATACAGATCAAATTCCTCTTTGTGCTCGGGATAAACTGAGCACTCCACATCCCTATAAATACCAAAGGCCAGGACGAAATCAGGAATTGACAACTGTGGCAAACCTAGCCACTTCCGAGTGTTAAAGACGGTGTTCGTATGCTATTTGTACATTCTAAAGACTGCTGCATTTGTACGCTTATTTCACAAATCATATTGGATTACTATGTTCGTGAAACGAATGAACTGCCGAACAGGAGACCACACAAGGTAGTTGTGTGTCTCCAATTAATCCCTTAAGGACCAAACTTCTGGAATAAAAGGGAATCATGACATGTCACACATGTCATGTGTCCTTAAGGGGTCAATGAACCGGCAACATTGTAACCACAGAACAGTAATGGTTTTATGGGTGGCCGCCGTTCGTATAACCGAACACGTGGCGGCGGCCATCTTTGTTCACGAAAGCTCAACGGTGTTTGGTTGTTGAGTGCCTGGAACTAAAACAGGCTACTCGACTGCATGAACACCGCTGGACTTCCATGTCTTTCGTATAAAGTACTTATTCGTGCAAATAGGGCTGCGTTCGACAATTTAAAGCTCACAAACCCGCATATCCCAACAGTTCACTTTTAACTGTATAATTGTAATGTGTGTTCGTATGAACCCTTCATTCGAATCGCTTTACTATTCTAGTGAATGGATCTGAGCGGTATTTCGCCAGATGGTGCGCTCAGATCTCAGCCATTCAATGAAGGGTCATTCAAATTGTACACGTTATGTATTTTTATGTGAAATGGTATATTTTGCTGTACAGAGAGATAATGTAATTAACAGTACATTCTTGCACAATTATCTCTTCAGTACAGCAATGCATGATGGGAAATAGCATTGCAGGTTACGTTTTCCACAGAGTCCACCAAGGGAAAATCCCTGCAATGCCAGTAGGGAAACCCCTTGCACGGGGACTTGTATAAATATGGTGACCTTGGAATATAAGCTCAGTTGACTCCCAAACTATGTGTTGTCTAGTTCTTGGGAAACAGGGAGTATCTTTACGCTACCTATACTTTGTATGCTGAATCCTGACTACCAGCGGAGATACCGTGGATTATACTACTACTCCGCTACAACAACTTCCTATTCAACCTGGGGTCCCTATAGCCTTCAGTACAACAGAGACATCGCCATAAGAATACGTCTTGTTCTCCAGAATATCTTGGGAGGCAATCAGCAGCGAAACTAGATTGACATCCTTGCCTGGGAGAGTTGGCCTCGCGGGAACACTAAGACAAGGCAAGAAGGCCAGAAAAACTAAATAGGCGGACTCTGAAACCTATCAGCCAGTAGACAAAGTCTTACCTTAGTACCAGTTGCAGGATGGGGAGGGGGTGGGGGAAGAGTAACAACCACTGGGTTCACATACCTGTCGTATCAGATGGATATAGAGTAGGACAGAGTAGATGAAACCCGAGCAATACCTATAAGAGTAATAGCAATGTTGTAGTACCCATATAGTGACTGTTAAATAGCAGAACAAACTAAAGAATATGGGATACCTACCAGCCAATAGACTAGCCCTAAAATGAACCAGCAAAGCATAAGTGGTAGTATAATAAGTATGGCCTAGTACCTTATAACATGAAAAGGAACAAATTAGGTTATCTGGGCAGTGAGGGTCAGATTGTGGATCCACAAGACAAATCTAAAACCACTAACCAATGTGAAATTGTAGAAATGGAAAGAGAGGAGATAACAGTTAAATGGCAGAGTGACTTCAGTTTGTAATATATGATACCACCAATATCAGAACCTTCAAGAGAGCTTAACTGACTACTAATTGACAAAAAATAAAAAGGACCCACCTAAAGCGAGTTGGACAATTGAAACTGAGCCAACCAGAACCTATGAGAATTGAAAACCCTTCAGAGGCACAGCCAAAAGGAAGGTTCAAGCCCGGCAACCTATAAAACATCTTTTTACAACATATTTAATAGACACGTGCAATTCGTTTCGGGCTGAATATGAATTTGGACAAATTTCGGGAAATTCGGACATTCTGGTACTTCCGAATGTCCGAATAGACGAATTACCGAAGTGCCGACTTATCAAGGTCCCGAAGTTCCAAAATTACCGAATTTCCGAAGTGTCGAAGTTGCCGAAGTTCCGAAGCACAGTATTGCCTAAGTACTAATATACTTACCCAGTTGAAGAAGAAGAATGTTACACTGTATACTATTTTAAATAAAAAGCATACAAACAAGTTACTTGGCCAGTCAGTGTAATTAACGGTATTAGGGAGAAATCTACTAAAAGGCTGAAAGACCTAAATTGGTCTTTCAGCCAAATGTACTAATACTAAGTAAAGATTACTTAGTAAATTATGCCCCTACTCGCTATATCGCAAGTAGGGGCATGTCTATTAAACAGTGAGCAGCCTGTGGCTGCTCTCTGTAAAAAAACAAAACAAAAACACATCCCCCCTCCCCCTCCTAACCTGAAGGGGGGACCTATTGCCCCCCCTCCCCCGGCCCCCACCCCTGAACGGTGGGTGGGGGCCCTAAAGTAAAATAAGGGGGGGGGAGGAGACCTATTGTCTTCCCCCCGGCCCCCACCTATGAGCGGTGGATGGGGGCCCTAAAGTAAAGTAATGGGGGGGGATCTATTGTCCTCCCCCCTGGCCCCCACCCCTGAGCGGCGGGTGGGGGCCCTAAATCAGAATAAGGGGGGGAACCTGAGCGGTGGGTGGGGGCCCTAAATACTAATTAGGGGGGGGACATAATGTCCTCCCCCCTGGCCCCCACCCCTGAGCGGTGGGTGGGGGCCCTAAATAAGAATGAGGGGGGAGGACCTAATGTCCTTCCTCCAGGCCCCCACCCCTGAGCGGTGGGTGGGGGCCCTAAATACTAATTAGGGGGGACCTAATGTCCTCCCCCCTGGCCCCCACCCCTGAGCAGTGGGTGGGGGCCCTA